ACACACATACACACACATATATATATACAACATACCCGTGTCATTAAATCAACAAGAGATCCATGCTCTAACAAAGTCTCAACACTTTCTTGGTCGCCATTTGAGGTGGAAAGAAACAGAGCAGTCCTTCCATACTGTGGAATGCAAGTGCAGGAAGTGTTAAGTTCCGCTACTTGAGAAAAAGGCATATATCTGTCTTACCTCGTTATGGCATGCATGAGCAGTCAGTCTAGATATACTTAATCAGAGATGAGGCGATATTAAGCTGCCTTAAAAGTACAGTAGTATCTACGAGCATGAAGTGGTATTCAACGCTATCTGACAGGGAAAGATACGAGCCTTACTCCACCATACTGCCATACATGGAAGGAATATGTGAATGTCAGGAGAGTGAAATAGATTCAATGCTTTATAATACAACAACTGCAAGACAAGAGAACCAACGTTCACCTATAATACCCACGCACTACCCTTTAAAACAGCCCCATTCGTAACCAGTACATTGAAATCCTGGCGATTGCAGGTAGAGAGCACCAATCAAGCATACTCTACACAAAAGGGCCCCTATACATGATCGTATCAAGTTCTTGAAACTGTAATTTAATATATACATATCGTAATTGGAATCACTAGCAAACGCATATCATAGTCAATTCGAAGACGAAAACTGTGAGCGCGCGAAGGAAGGCAATCTAACGATGACGCTAGGACAAATGACAAATGCCAAAGCAGCGAATCGAGCAATCAGTGAATCACTTATGTAGGTATCTGTACAGATGTAAGGTAGTACACTATTTATAATATTCTATTGAGGTATCTCAGACACATATACAGGCACACATATATATCAATACATATAACAATGTATATCGAATCATCGTATAAGCATAAGTAATAACGAAATAGCTGCCTTGACACACAAACCGACATACATGAGCCAAAAACACATATATGCATATATACATGGACACACACACGCACACATATATATATATACAAACATACACAAATGTG